TTTACATGAGAAATTGCACATTTAATTGATTTTTCTAGTTAATTTAACAATTAACATATAATTTTTTTAAAACTTGATAATATAATAGAGAGGAAAAAAAAAAACCAAGAGAAAGATATATGTGACATACAAGGGCATTCTAACTGTACCCACAAAAATAACATTTTCTTTTTTATACCCATCACTCCCTTTTTTTTCATCGCATGGTTATATAATCATTTTTATCAAATAGTGGGTTTCATGACTTAATAGAGTTTTAATTTATAATGTCATTTAACTTTTTATATTAATCTAGGATAATTAAATATTACCTTTGACCTTTTAATTTCTTGTAGTAAAAAATATAACCACCTCTATAATTTAGAAAATGCAACTTGCAAAGTTTGTTGACATCTTAAAAAACTCGTTCTATTTATGTATCCTATCTTTAGTTTTTTATTAAGAAATTTTAGCCTTTTATATTAAATTTTTAGCCCTGTCCCCAGAGGAAGGCAACGTGTCAAAAGTGAAAACACTTTACAAATTTAACTTCAAAAAAGCCAAAATACTAGCTTTGCTTGCAACACGCATAGCCAAACGGCAATAGAGATTTATTTAACCGGATGTAATTATTTATTTTTATGTTTTAAAAGTATTTTAAAAAAATTAATTTTTTATTATTTTCAAATTATTTCAATATATTAACATGAAAAAATAATTTTTAATAAATATAAAAAATATTATTTAATATCTTCATTAACGAAATGGCATTTGATACCGGTTAGCCCGTGATATAGAGCCCAATGAGGACGCTAGGCATGGGCATCAAAGTCATGATATCTTGCCGCATGAGGACGCTAGGCATGGGCATCAAAGTCAGAGTGGGTCCCATCGAAATCATTGCGATCACGAGAAAGTTTCTCGTACATGCCGAGAGGTGGTAATTTGATAATTAAAATTATGACAGCGATGGCTTTAGAAAGTGACTTTTATTTTAAAATATATAAAAATAATATTTTATATTTTTTAACATCAAGAAAAACAATATAAAATCATATAAAAATTAATTTAAAACAAAAATAAATAAACACAATCTAGTTCCTTCTCAATGACAGTTGTATTCGCGTTTTGAAATGAAAAACATTAAAACTTTAAACACTAGCCACGCATATGTTTCTAAACAGATCCTTCCAATCACATCATGGACCAGTCCTTTTAAAATTAAAATTCCGATTCAAATGCGTAAGCATTTAATGAAATTATATTTTTATTGAATTTTTTATTAATATAATTTTTAGATCAACTTATATATATCTTTATTAATTCTTATATAATTTTTTAATAACTTTAAAATTAATAAAATTTAAATTTATAATTTTTAAAAAATAGGATGTAAACCAATTAAGCAAAGCTAAAAATAATACTTCTGGTTGAAGTACTGTCCTTCATCAGGGTTACTACAATCTATACAAATCAACAAGTAAGTGCCGGAGATGGTTATAATCTGTATGTTTGAATTGTGTGTTATCATGATTGAATCAGGAGTTCATTGATATAATAAGTTCCATGCAAGGTACACGTGTAACACATATATCGTGTAATTTGCATGTTTTAATTAGGTGTATTGTCGTGATACATTCTGATCATGGTATGTCATATGAAAAGTACGCCTATTGATGTTTTTTTTTTTAAACGTGATTACACTGGACATGGATTAATCTATAAAAAAATGTGATTACACTGGACATGGATTAATCTATATCTGGAGTGTATTATGGTACTCTTTATGTCTAAGAGACTATTTGAAAATATGATAATAATGTTTATTTAGAAATATATTAAAATAATATTTTTAATTTTTTAAAAATTATTAGCATATAGAAAAAATATTAATTTGAACTTAATAAAAAAATAAAATTTTTTAATTTTTTAAAATACAAAAACAAACACTCTGTATTTTTTTGAAAAACCTCTGATGCATTCACTTTTTGCGATTGAATCTTAGGAAAATTAATGAGATTTAACCATACATGCAAGGTCTCTCTAAAAAGAGTCTCTTTGTGCCTTCATAGGTGAAGTTGATCAACATGATTATACTGCCTTTTAGCCATACAAGAAAGCAGTGAAGAGGTTTAAAACGAATACTTTATATTGAATATCAATAACCTTCCAAGCACAGAAGCCAGTTTCTTCGTTGTTTTGGGCACAAGGCAAATGCCCCCTCCTCCGAAGTGGACTAGAGCCAAGATTTTTCGATGTACTCCACTGTCTTGGGAAGAATTTCCGATCTTTCTTTGCTTTTTTTCCCCTTGTAGACTGGAATTGGTTTTTAACTAGCACGCAAGCGGCTCTTGGTACGTGAATTCTTGAATATATTTCTGAAATATTTTGACTGAAAATGTTACATTTATGTTTGATTGAAGTGAAGAGTGCTGGTAATAGGTACCATTTTTCCCTGAAAATGATATTGAACTGGAAAATACCGGGCGGGTTTGCACCATTTTTTTTAAAATAAAATAAAATAATTTTAATAAAAATACTGAGTTGATTTTGTTTTCCCATTAGCTAGAAAAATATTCTCAGCGATTGGCCATCTAATAACGTGCTCCCGTCAAACTTTTCTGCTCAACAACAACGACCGCAGCGCTGCAGCCATCCCTTTCACTTATGTCGTTTTTGTAAATCAAGCAACCACGCCACAAACTTGATGCGTCGAAAGCCGCGGTCAGACGTGAAAATAATCAATTAGTCATTGAATATTACATTCTGATTTGAGATTTGTTCGACCGAGACTGAAAAAATAAAAAATAAATAAAATGCCCACTCAATCAGAGCATCACGTGCTGGAGTTTGACTATACGAGTGTCCGAATCGAGCATCTTCTATTGGCGGTGCAAACCATCACGCCCTTCATCCTGCCTAATAAATGGTTTACAAACAAACAAAAGTTATTGCCCCCACGGTATATTCTTAACGTTGACGGTGAAAACATATATTTTTTGTTTTAAATTGTTTTTTAATATTTTTTAGATAGTTTTGATACATAAAATAAAAATAAATTTTAATAAATAAAAATAAATTTTAATATATTTTTAAAAAACAGCAATCATGAGCAATGACAGAGCCATAATAGATCAAAAGCGGCCATTGCCCTCATAATTATTTTTTTTATATTTTTATATTAATACATTATTATTACAAGGAAGGAAAGTTTTGATACACAGAATTACAGCTCATTACCCTAATTTTTTTTTCTTCTCTTGTCTAACATTATTGTTCAGCTCCCGTTCACTGCGTCTTGCTTTACTCGTCAATTAATCTTTCTTGTTTTTTACTTTATGCTTTAGGTAAATTCTTTTATTTTTATTTATTTTTATTTTTTATAATTAATTATTAAAAATTTTAGGGTTTATAATAATTTAAAATTTTTGATATAAATATGTTTAAATATATTTAAAATAAATATTTAAATCTATTAATTTAATTAATTAAGTATTTATTTTTTATTATAAATAAATAAATTAATATTTATACAAAACCACTATTCTGCAGACTATTATTCTTGATATTTGATATTTATTGTAGTAACAGAGTAATTTTTTAAAAAATATTTGGTTGTGTATATTAAAAAATCTTTGATAAGATTGATAATAAAATTTATTATGAAGTAGTTTTAAAATATAAAAATTTAAAGATAATAATTATAATATAAATTTTTTATTTTAAAAATATTTT